TGGCGAAACGAACTTAAAATATTAAGACATTTCAAAATTTCTCGTTGTTTGTGTCACGCAGAGAAAAGCTTTATAGAGATCCATATATTTGCTGATGCAAGCCCAAAGGCATATGGAGTTGTGGCATATTTGAGAACAGTGGCGAATGGGATAGTTTTAAACAAATTTATTTGCTCAAAAAACAGAGTAAGCCCAATTACAAAGAGCGGTAATGATGAACTCTCGCTCCCAAAGTTGGAACTCACGGCAGCTGTTATTGCAGTACGACTTAAAGCATTTTTATCAGGGTCTCTAGAGTTACAGATTGATAAATACTACTTATGGTCTGATTCAACAATTACACTTAATTGGATTATGGGATGCGGAAATAAAATAAAGCCATACGTTACAACAAGAGTTAAAGAAATTTTAAAACTAACTAACATATACGAATGGAAATATTGCGATGGCAAAAGCAATCCTGCTGATTTTTTAACTAGAGGTTGTACAGCCAAAAATTTGTTTAATAATGAATTATGGAAAAATGGTCCGAGCTGGTTATCGGCAAAGCAAATACATTCTGCAAGCAACAAGAGTATGAATGATATTTTATTAACATTTTCGGACCTGAATGAAAACATTGTCAATCAAAGCGAATCATTTGAAACAATAAACAAATATAGTAACATCAAAAAAGTGTTAAGGGTAACAGCCTATATTATGAAGTTTATTAGCAACATGCAGACACAAAAATCTCACAGGACAGTACAGAAGACATCAAAAATAAATGACGTAAAAAATTTAAGTGCGCAGGAAATTGCTGAAGCCGAAAAACTTTTGGTAAAACTGGAACAGAGAAGATATTTTCCTGAAGAAGCTAGTTATCTGAAGAACGGAAAAATTTTGCCAACAACATCGAAGTTATTATGTTTAAATCCAACTATTGACGATGGCGTGATAAGACTTAGTTGCAGGATTTCAGATAAAGATTACGACAAAAGTTTGACAAAACCAGCTATATTGCCTAAACTGTCTCGTCTGAGCAGGTTGTTAATAATTGAAGCGCATACAGTTACTCTACATGGAGGTGTGAATGTAGTACTAGCATACATACGAAAGAAATATTGGATAATACAAGGTCGCCAACTAATCAAAAATATAGTAGGTCAATGCATAGTATGCAAAAGGATCAGAGGTAAAAGCGCTAATGAACAATGGTCTGTTTTGCCAACTGAACGAATTACAACAACCAGACCATTCAAGACGACTGGAATTGATTTTGCAGGACCACTATATATAAAAATTGAAAGAGAGAATTACCAAGAAAAGGTTTATATAAATTTATTTACATGCGCAGCTATATGTAAGAGCAATCCATTTGGAACTGGTGAAAAATCTTACAACCAACAGTTGTATTGACGCTTTAAGAAGGTTTATAGCGCGTCGTGGTTGTCCAGAAACAATCATTTCAGGTAATGCCAAAACATTTAAAAGAGCAAACAAAGAACTTCAAAAGCTAGAAACTTTACTTAAATCCGAAGAATTTCAGAACAATGCAGCCCACAAAGGATTTTCATGGAAATTCATACCAGAAAGAGCGGCATGGTGGGGTGGATTCTGGGAAAGATTAGTGAAAAGTGTCAAGATATGCTTGAAGTCAGCTATTGGGAAATTGATATTGACATACGATGAATTGAACACACTATTGACAGAAGTTGAATACGTTGTAAATATTTGTCCTTTAACCTACATAACAAATGATGAAAAGGATTTAGAACCATTAACACCAGCACATTTTTTAAATTCGTGTCAACACAGCTTTATTATTGACGAGTTTAACTATGACAGATCAGAAGTTGGTGATTTATGGCAAAAACGTCGAGCGTTACTCTTAAGGTATCTTAAAAGATGGCAGCAAGAATATTTGAACCAATTACGGAGTATTCACTACAATAAACCTCGTGCTTCAAGGAGTGTAAATGAGGGAGATATTGTTTTAGTCGGTGATAATTTAAAAACTCGGCTACAATGAAAAATGGGTGTCATTAAAAATGTATACCACGGAAGAGACAACAGAATACGAGATTGTGATGTCTACATGGGTAACAATCTTACCTTGAAGAGACCAATTCAATTACTGTATCCACTCGAGGTTTCTGCAACTCGCGGGCCCCAGGATGTGAAAACTAAAGCGCAATAAAGGGTTGTTTCTTGCCGCTACTGTCTCTCTCTATCTTTCAAACATTGTACGCATAATTATACACATTCATTGTATATTTTAGTCGTTAATAAACTGTCAGCAGAAACTGACGCTAAAACCGGTGTTGTATTATTTATTTATTAGTATTTTTACAGTCAATTTGGTAAATCGGAAATTCTCTTTCTGGGCTACACGGTCAGCAAGAATGGCATTAAACCACCACAGGACCGCATTGAAGCAATAGTAAATTACAAACAACCTGACACAGTCAGTGACCTAGGACGGTTTCTAGGTGTTCTGAATTACTACCGGCGTTGTATACCACACTTATCGCAACATCAAGCACAGCTTAGTGATCTGGTACGAAACATCAAAAAGAATGACAAACGAAAATCTCTTGGACTCCCGAAAGTCTCGATGCGTTCAATAACTGTAAACACAGCGTTGCGAATGCTGCACTAATTGCACATCCAGCACCTGATGCTGAGCTGGCACTTATCTGTGATGCATTTGACGTTGCTATTGGCGCTGCCGTAGAACAATATGACCAGGGCACTTGGGTACCATTTGGATTTTTTTCGAGAAAACTCTCAGCAACTGAAAAAAATTACAGCGCATATGATAGAGAATTATTAGCAATCTACAGCGCCATTCGTTTTTTCAAACACCTCCTAGAAGCACGAGTCTTCGTCATTAAAACGGACCACAAACCGCTGATATATGCTTTCAAACAGAAACCAGAGAAGGCGTCACCACGACAGCTCCGCCATCTCGATTATATTTCCCAATTTTAAACAACCATTGTACACCTATCTGGAAGTGACAATGCTGTGGCAGATGCTCTTTCTCGCATTTCAGCTGTATCGCTGCCAACTGCTGTCAGTTTATCAACCGTTGCAGAGGAACAACAAAACGATCAAGAGTTAAAAACGCTGTTGCACGGGGAAACATCTTTGAAACTGCAAGCAATTGTTTTCAACGACAAAAATTCTTTGTTCTGCGATGTGTCTACAGGAACAATTCGGCCATACGTGCCAGTATCTCTGCGTCATAAAGTTTTCACATCAATTCACGGCATGTCACACCCCAGTGGAAGATCCACCCTGCATCAGATAAAACAAAAATACGTCTGGCCTTCCATGCGAATTGATATAGTTGAATGGGCGCGAAATTGTTTACCCTGTCAACGAGCAAAAATACACAGACACAATAATTTTCGGCCAATTAAAATCGACATGCCAGACAACCGTTTCGACCATGTACATATCGACATCATTGTGATGCCAATGGATAAAAGGTATCGCTATTGTTTAACAATGATTGATCGTTTTTCAAGGTGGCCTGAAGCTATACCTTTAAAAGACATTACGGCAAACACCATAGTATCTGTTTTTTGGTCAAACTGGGTGGCGAGATTTGGATGCCCGCAAACCATAACAACGGACCGGGGCCTACAATTTGAATCAGCTTATTTCAAAGCCATGACCAAAATGATAGGAGCAAAACACGTCCACACCACGTCATACCATCCACAGGCAAACGGTATGATTGAACGCTGGCACCGTTCTTTAAAAGCAGCACTTATGTGTCACGAAGTAGAATCCTGGACAGAATTACTACCAACAGTCCTGCTAGGCCTACGAACGTGTTTCAAGGAAGATCTGCAAACTTCAACTGCTGAGATGCTGTATGGTTCCCCGATTCGACTACCGAACGAGTTTGTTGAGGACGACCAACAATGCACCAGCCCGCAGATTTTCATAGAGGAGTTTCGCAAACACATGCGATTAGTGCGACCGACTCCCGCAACACATCACCGGAACAATGTTTCATTTGTGTTGAAAAACCTCTACAACTGTTCACACGTCCTGCTTAGGACTGATTCTGTTCATCGCCCGTTGGAGCCACCATACTGTGGCGACAGTACAACAAAGATGGCAACCCAGAAAATATCCAATTGTCATTCTTGAAGGAAAAAGACACCGGGTAATGCTGAAAAGATAAAAGCACATAAACTGGTCACCTTAACAACAAATTAAAGTATGAGAGGCAATTGATAACAACAGTTAGTTGATGGTTAATTTTCCTAGAGTAAACTTGTACTATTTTGTAGTTTGTAAAAAGTAGTTTTGTATAATAGTGTATGTTAAATAAAATAGTCAAAAGAAACGACTAAAAATGTAATAAACAAAAGAAAGCAACCAAAATATTGATATTATAAATGATGGAGCAATTTTATTATCAGGAAATCATACTGTAAATGGAGCTAAATTAAATGGAACATACTCAATTACTTTAAATAACAAAACTTTTATAGATAATATAGAATACATTAATGCAAAAGAGATAATAAAGAAATATGTAAGACCAGTAAATATCAACAATTTTAAAGTAATAAATTATATTAAAAACGAAACAGAATCAAATTTTCAGAATATAGATATGTTAGAATATAATCATGATTTTAATAAACACCACATATAGTGGATTATTTTACTAATATTCATCATTACAATAATTATTATTTTAAAAATCAAATGTAATTTGATATTGTTGATATTGTCAGGAGACAATAGGAAAAGTGCTATTACAAAACAATTATTCTTCAAGAGTTGCACGTAAAAAACCGTTGTCATCTGTTCAAAATATTGAAAAACGGTTTCAGTTTGCTAGTACACATTTAAGGTATGATTCAGAAACCTGGGATGATGTAATTTTCTGTGACAAAGTGAAAATCATGCTTTATTATAATGCAGGACCCACAAAAGTTTGGAGAAAACTACTTCAAGCATATCAAAACAAGAATATTATTCCCACTGTTAAATTTGGCCAACTTTCAGTAATGGTATGGGGCTGCATTTCGTCCAACGGTGTAGGGAATTTAGGGTTTATTGAAGATAGAATGGATCAACATTTATACTTAGATATTTTAAAGACAGATTTGGTATCCAGTGCACAAAAGTTTGGCTTTGTTGAATCAAATTACCCAACAAAATTAAAATTCAAACTATACCAGAATAACGATCCAAAACACAAATCGCATTTATGTATGTTATGGACACTTTATAGCTGTTCAAAAGTTATAGACACTCCTGCACAAAGTTCGGATTTCAATTCGATAGAAACTGTATGATCGTTTTTAAAAAAGAAAGTGGCTGGAAGACTAACAAAACGCAGTTGTAGGATTATGTTAATGAGGAGTGGGCCAAAATTCCCCTAAATTATGACATTAAAAAGCTTATGTCATCTATGAAAAGCAGACTGCAAGCAGTGGTAGAGGCCAATGGCTCACATACAAAATATAATTTGATATTTAGTACACAATCGGAGTGAAAGCACGCTAAGTGCTCTTCTAACCTGCCCTGTGAAGGAATACCTTAATTGGTCGTACTGCAGAGATTTACAAGAGTTTGAGCTGAGAATGTAGGGGACTTTTTAGTCCGTAGGCACATATGACTCAATTGGGTTGCGCATGAATCGGGCATGTAAATAGTGCGTGCCATTTGTATCTTTGGAAGATTTTTCCCCCAGGTTCGATACCAAGAAAAAAAAAATATTAATTGATATTGTATAATTTATTTAACTAATTCTTATAAGCAATAATTAATTACAATGTAATTTGCAAACACAATGTTGACACAACAAATTTGGTGTTATTTTTATTTTTGTGAATTATTTTATTGTTCTAATGATACTTTTATTTAATTTTTAGTTTAATATGAAGAAAAATGTTTAATTTATTTGTAAACATTTTAATTTTTTTTTATTTCAAAATTAAATCATTTTTATTGTGCATTTAATAAGCATTTTGGTTTAAACACCAGTGAAATCAGTTTTTATTCAAATGGATTTGTTATAGATGAAGAACAGTTTGAAGCTGTAAGCAATATTTAACAGATGAAAACTTCTTTATCAAAGTAATATGTAAAGGTAAAGCATTATTTAAATAAATTTTTGTGTGTGTATGCCATACCTATTTATATTGCTTTAATTAAATTTGTTATTTTGTGTTAAGTCAATTGGATACTCTTATACTTATTTTAATTTCAATTATTTAACATTTATTTACAACCAAAAAAAAGCTTTTAATA